CCGCCCAGCTGACTAGGTCGCACCGCTGGCTTGGGTTTTTTTTTTTAAGGACCTTTTTCCGTCTTGCATCCACAAGGCCGGAGAGCCTGGTACAGGCAGGCCAGCTTGGGTTTAGGGTTTAGGGTTTAGGGCTTGAGGCTTTGGGGTTTCCCATCATCGCAAAACTTGAACCACAGCACAGGCAATCCAAGCGGCTCCCTGCGTAAGGTTCTATCGGAGATGCCATCGGGCAAAGAACCCACGAAGACCTTGCAAGGACCGCCGGCGGCGGGTCCTCCACCTCCGGACGGAGCAAAACCGGAGCCTGCACCTGGCAAAGGAACTCGAGGACACTGTCTAGATGATATTATGTTATGTTATAATATGCAACATGCATTATGCTATTCCCTTCCATTCTATTGTAGTATAAATATCATATCCACTAGAGAAGACAAGAAAGTTGCCGGCCTCCGATGGGCGCTGCGGTGATCGGCGCGGTGGCTCTTTTGAAAGGGGTGCTGCTGTGGCTTCCACCGCCACTGTAGCCGCCCCCTATACTGAAGCTCCTGTGATTGCCCAAGCTGCTACCTCCACTGGGCCCACCAAAGCTGCCCCCATAAGGGGTGCTGCCGTGAGCATTGTAGGAACTGCCAAAGCCACTGTTGTAGTTGCCGCCGCCGATGTGCATGCCACCTCCTGGAACCGAGGCACAGACGGCTTAGCACATGAAGCCTGCGTCAAACTTCAAAAATCCGAGTGCGCCTCTGTCGAGGGAATCCTGGCCGTACATTCCCTGATGCTTGGCCATGGTCACCTCGCACGGCCTTTCGGCGCCTGCAATGGAAATCCAGGTGGAGCGCCAGCAGGAAATGGCAAACACTTTGTCATGATCCTCCCTCCGTGCCTGGGAGCATCAGCACGCGGTCGCAGCTAGCCTTTCAGCACGCGAGGTTTCGGTGCGGTTGACTTCAACCTCCCCAACAGCTGAAGGTTACAAGACATCGAGGTGACCCACGGAGCTTCAAAGGGCCTAAAGGCGGCCTAAACCCTAAACCCTAAACAACAACCTTCAGTTACAAATCCTAGAGCCATCGTGCAGCTGGCCCTGCACCTTGGCGTGCTTCGCCTCCTCTGAGGTTGAGAAAGTAATGAATCCCCACTTGCCTCAGCTGTGAGCTGCTTGTGCTTCTGCTTTGCTGAAGTCTGGGAAAGATTCCATCAAGCTCCCGGTTAAGATTCTCAGCTTGGGCCTTCTACGCCACCTAGGTAGTGTTGACCCTAAACCCCCTTTTTTTGAACCAGGAGCTTCCTAAGCAATCAATCCAGAACCCACCCTGTGGCTTCGCATCTTAGAGCAACTCCACCCTTGCTTCGAGATTTACCAAGACATGAAAACTCCGTAAGGGCCAGCTCCTCATCCAGATGCTGATCCAGCCTCGGCTGCCTCAGCTTCGCCCTCCCTAAACCCAAAACCCTAAACCCCAAACCCCAAACCCTAAGCCCTCAACCCCAAACCCTAAACCCAAAACCCCAAACCGTACACAAGACTGAAGTTCGGACAGGCTTCGACCTGACTCACATCCTGGCTTCAGGAAGACGTCCGTCACAACGCCGTAGTTGGAGAACTCTTCCGTGAGGATATTTCTGGGTGGGTTTCGACTCACACACTCGCACAAGGCAGGCATGGCAGGTTCCGTCCGAGCTGGGTGGGGTTAGCGTTTAGGGCCGGGGTTTGGGGTTTATGGTTTTTTTTCTAACACCGTTTTCCACCTCGCAACGTCAGCAGAATCCACTACATGTGGAAGGTGTGTAAACCTGACATAGGTTTGCCCCACGATCATCACACCTGCGGAGGGTTTAGGGTTGAAGGTTCGGAGTTTAGGGTTTAGGGTTTTTTCCCACCCGCCCAGCTGACAGAGTCGCACTGCAGGGAGTTCGTTGGAGTTAGAAAGACGGTCAAGGGGAGAGCCAAGGCGGTCGACAAGCTCCGAAGACAACAGGCCACCACCGCATAACAACCAGTACAGGCTAAACCCTAAAAGCCCTAAACCCTAAAAGCCCTAAGCCCTAAGCCCTAAACCCTAAACCCTAAACCCCTACACTCTGATCACCCGTCTGTTCTCCAGGTCCCAGGAGGAAGGCCCACTAGCCCGAACACACACCTAAGGGTACCCAGGGGCCTTCCCAGTTCTACAGCCTGCAGCTCGGGACTACGACTGCTGAAGATATGAATCCTGCACTACCTTAAGGACCCTAAACTACATATGGGAAGTATACCTTAAGGATACCTTAAGGACCCTAAACTATGGGAAGTATGGCATATATGGTATTCCGTATTGTGGGTAATGCAGGATTTACATCATCAACGGGTCGACGGGGCCTCTGCTCAGCTTCTTGTGAATTTTCGGATTCCCAAAGCATTGGCACGGCGTCAGGGCCCTCTGAGACAGTTAGGGCCAGGTGTGTGCTCGGACTTGCATCAGTCATCAGCTTGGAAAACGAACTGGCAAACATTGCATTTTCCACCGATGCTTCGTATCCCCCAATGCATCGTGGCTTCAAAGGGTTTGTCGAGATACTGGCTACAGAAAGTCTTCCCATGCACCTCGTTTCAACTGCAATTCGTTGATCGCCACACCCTTTCCCATTTCCGGATATTTGGCAGCCAGGCGGTTTTTATGCTTGAAATATCGCACTCGCAAACACTCCAAGCACGCGATCTGCGCAGCAAAGACTGAAGCGTGAGAGAACCTGAGGTGCTTCCCAGCAGCTCGTCGACAGAGTCTGGCAAAGTGCCGACAAAAACCTGGCAATTGTTATCATTATTGTTGTTGTTGTCATTATTATTATCGTTATTATTGTTGTTATTGTTAATATTAAGATCGCTCGATTCAGGCATGCACAGATGCAGCAGTGAGCCCATGTCCTGACGAAAGCTTGAAAACGACCACATTATCAAGCCAGTACCTAGTCAGTTCTGCTCAACAAAGAGCCCAGCATGTAGCAACTTCTGCACCGTAACTTGAAAAGCTCAGAGACCCTACAGGGAGCCTTCTTTGGGCCCGTTTCTATCGGCATCTTTGCCGCTGGTGCCGCTTGCTGCAGCGCGCCGGAGCCGAACATGCCCTTGCAGGAAGCGCCGCTGAGTGGGTTTACGGTTTAGGGTTTTGGGTTTAGGGGTTTGGGTTTAGGGGAGTGTCTTCATCTCAACATCGCCCATGTGACCGAAAGGTGCTCTCCAAAAGTGCAGAACGTATGGCGAAATCGCACCCGGGCCTGGTTCCGGGCCAGCGTTACCTGCCAGGAGCGAAGCCCCCGACGCCCAGACACTACCTTACATAATATACAGTTATGTAGTATTTAGTATAGTACAGTATAGTACAGTATAGTATTAATGTAGTATATTGGTATTGTAATCACATCTGACACTGGCCTCGCACGGTCGTGCGGCACCTTCGAAATGAAGCCTGCCATTGCTCGCCTCCTGAGGCATCCGAGGAACAACTTCAAAAAAAATGTGGAAAACATCGGAAAGCCCAACAAGCAGTGAAGGTGCAAGATGAAATCTGTATTACATGTGCACTCTCGCGGCATGTGCTCCAACTCTCTGACTCCTGGGCATGTGCGGCAGCATTGGGCGAATCAAAGGTTACAAATGCCCACTGTCGCCCGGGTTCGCATCCAGGCTTCAGAAAAAGGTCCTGAAGTTGCAAAGGCGGAGCAGAAATGACGTCAACTTGGCCTATAGGGCGACGTAACAACGCTCACTTCTCCAAATCTCTCCTCGACGATGCCATACTTTGAAAACTCGAGCCTCAGGGCTTCCTCCTGCCGCGAGTTGCTTCTTTGGGAATTGGGCCTTCTAAGATTCTATGACATAGAATGCAGCCTTCGAGATTCCCGGAAGCGTTTGTGTTGTGCAGTTTCCACACATCAAGGCTCTCCAAAAATTGGCTGCCTCCTGACTGGCGTAAGCGTTTCGCATGAAAAATAGCTGCAAGAGCCATGCAGCCGGCTGACAAAAAATAGCCCCTCATTAGTATCAAGTACCAAGCCTCATGTGCGTGGGCGACGCAAGCAAGCAGTCCCAAGTCAGCTCCAAACAATTTAAACGGTACAGCGGCGCTGGCGCAGGAAACGGCGTGCGAAAGCATTAAGCTCCTATGTCAGGCATGCATGACACGTCATTCTCTAACTCCGGAGAACCCAAAGCTCAACCTTTTTGCGCGCCGTGCATGTGCCAGAACGCCTTGACGTCCACGCCAGGGGCGCGGGCAAAGTGGTGGATGTTAGCGTCTGGATGTGGTGAGGGTACTTGCTTTTGTATGTCTGAGCAGTTTTTCGATGGGCTCTTCAATGGATTGTCCCACTTCGCTCTCCTTCCAAATTGAGGTCACTCCCGTTCACGCATCACTGTGTTTCGGGCTCCAAGGTCTTGGTGAAGGCTCGTGATCAAACGGATGTTGATTAGGCGGAACCCCTGAAGCAAGACAGCCAAGTGAGACTAATTTGTCTGTTACAGGGCTTATTGTGTCGGAGCATCGCGCCGCCTATTGTGCTCTGACATAACCGCTGAAGTTCCGCTGAAGCAAGACAGCCTAATGGGACAAAAGAAGTCCATTGTAGGGCGTATGCCTGTGGTCGTGTAGCATCTCTCAACTAAGCGAGATGCATTGCCCTCCATATGGTGAGGTCGTAACATCCCACCGCTTGTCGATCAGGCATAGGATGAGCTCTCTCCAGCAGCAGTAAGGCTTGTTTTCTTGCTGCATTGTGCTAATCCTTTGACCCATGTGTTGGCCAGCGTCATGTGGGTAGTTCTCTCAGTTGGGGCCCCGTTTAAGTCACTCAGCGAGCGAGAATTAAGCAGCGGAGTGGATGTTCTGGTAACACGGACACCACAGCACGAATCCCGTGGCATCCTGGATCCCATCGGGAAGAGATCCCACAAAGATCTTCCGCGGAGCCTCTGATGGAAGAAAATCAAGATCTGGAATAGACAGTCACAACATCTCCACGACAGCACAGGACGGTACAAAATATGCGTGGCCAAACGACACTGCAACAAGCGGAATCACCGGAGGGTGCGCGATAGAAACTTATCGGAGCTTCTTGCTGCCATGGAGCCGAAGAGCCAGCATCAGCAGCCCCGGTGCTGCCTTGATAGGGAGTGGCTCGCACGGGTTGCAACTTCAACCAAGCAGTGTGGCAGCCATGTCGGCCTTGATTCTTTGCCAGCATCACGTCGCAGGCACCTTACTGTCGTCGCAATGAAGCCCCAGCCGACTTGACACACTGTGGCCAGAAACAGAAAGTCTAATTGCTTCCGGGTGGCGCTCCGCACCTGGTAATCTCAGCAGTCGGTCACATGCCTCCTTCGCAGCTGCCGCTGCATCCGCGGAGGCAAAAGTGACGAACGCCTCGGGCGGTCCGGGGTACAGACAATGAGGTGCAATCGGGCGTAAAATCTTGGTTTCTGAGTCATGGCCGAGTCATGCACCCACTGCTTACCCACAGGGCAGCCCTCCTGCGAGACACACAAGCACAACACTATATACTCCTGCTCTGCAGTTGGCATCTCATGAGCAGGAGGAGATTACAGGGCAAGGATGTCCTTGATGAAGACCTCATCGATTCGTCCAAAGCGATCGAACTCCGATCTGAGCAGATCTTCGGTGACGGCGGATGGAAGCGAGCCCACGAAGATCTTCCGGGCCATCTCGACCCAACTCCCGCTTCCCCCCGCTTGAGCAGGAGAGGCGACAAAGGCATCATGGCATGCCATCACGTATATGAAGCTACACTGCTGACACACACACACAGAGATATATATATATACATATATGTGCTCCATTATGCTTCGATTCAGCCGACATTGACAGCCTTAGGGCTTCGGTGGCATGGCAAAGCAGCATTGGACTGGGACTGATGCGACCGGGCCCGGAGGGCCCAGCAACGCCCGCATCAGACCAGACCACCGAAACACGTTTTGGACACCGACGTACGACAACAGGTCTGAGCTCTCCAATCTTCCAGCCGCTGAGACCCAATTCTCGGACTCTGGCCCGTGAAATGACATCGTTCCGGGGGTGCGACTATGGAGTAAATGACGCACCCATGTCAGGGCTGGAGAGCAGACAAGAAGCCTCCATCCATGCACTTGCAACAAGAAAATTGCTGCTAGTGCCCACCACCCACCCACAAGCAGCTCCTCTGTAGCACCCCAAGCATGCAAGGTCGTCCAACTGCTGGGCCTTCTCGGCCTCGTGTGCTGCACATCCCTGAAGCTCATAGCTCAACCATGACATGAGGCTCGGGCCTTCGACGCATCTCCGTGGTCCTGAAGGTATAGTATAGCATATACTGTAGTATAGTATATAGTATATAGTATATAGTATATAGTATATAGTATATCGTATATAGTATATAGTATA